ACAAAATGTTCAGTATACAAGTACAAAGTACCATGACCCACAATTGGATGTGGGTCAGGCTCAATGGTGTGTAAGAGGAGCTAAGTCAGGCTGGTGGCCAGTCACTAGTGGGGCTCCATTTTAGGGCCAGTTCTATTTATTTATTTATTTATTTTTTATAAATGACCTGGATGCTGGAGTTGAAAGCATACTAAGTCTGCAGACAACACTAAAGTAGGAGGAGCTGTTGAGTCCCTTAATTGCAGAGAGTCCTTTCAGACAGATCTTGACAAATTAGAGGGCTGGGCAGTCACCAACTGTATGAAATTTAACAAAAGTGAGTTCCTGGAATGGGGCAGATACTTGTATGTATGTGGGATGTGAGGATGGAGAGCAGCTCCACAGAATGGGATCGGCGGTTCTGGTCACCAGCAATGTGCCTATGAACCCGCAGCGTGTCTGGCAGCCAGGAGGGCCAGCTGTACCCCGGGGTGCCTCGGGCCCAGCACTGCCAGCTGCTGAGGGGAAGGGATTGTCCCGCTCTGCTCTGCCTGGTGAGGCCTCACCCTGAGCACTGTGTGCGGGGTTGGGCACACGATATGGGAAGGACATAAAAGTATCGGAGAGTGCCCAAAGGAGGGCAACACAGCTGTTGAAGGGCCTGGAGAAGAAGGTGTCTGAGGAGGGGCTGAGGTCCCTGGGTTTGTTCAGCCCAGAGCAGAACAGGCTCAGGGGAGGCCTCATGGCGGCCTGCAGCTCCCTCACGAGGGGAGCAGAGGGGCAGGCGCTGAGCTCTGCTCTCTGGGGACAGTGACAGGACCTGAGGGAATGGCATGGAGCTGGGACAGGGGAGGGTCAGGCTGGGTGATAGGAAAAAGTTCTTCAATGAGAGGTTATCAGGCACTGGCACAGCTCTTCAGGACAGTGGTTGTGGCACCAAGCCAGCCAGAGATCAAGGAATGTTTGAACAGTGCTGTCAGACACCTAGGCTTATTTTGGGGTGGTCCTGTGTGGAGCCAGGGGTTGTGCTTGATGATCCTTGTGGGTTCCTTCCAACTTGGGATATTCAGTGAAAACAGTAAAAGGACTAAGTTGGAGTCTCAGATGTTGTAGTTCCTGAAGCTTTCCTGACGTATCATTGAGGATAACCTAAGACATGACTCTGTCAATAACAATTTCTAAATGCATCCATTAACTCCTTATCTGGAGTTTTTAAAATACTTTGTCATTGACTTGACAGAACAACTGGGACATTGTCACTATACTGAATTACAAATTACTGGCACAGCTCTTTTGTCATTAACTAGTCAAACTTCAATACCTTTCAGTATTGTAGTCTCAGCACAGAACTGGGCATATCACAGTGTGCTGTGATATGCCCATTCCTGATTCCTTCCATTCCTGATTCCCCTCTGTCCTTTGTCAAGAAGGCAAGAGACAAGCAAACAAGACTCTGAAATACTCTTACTTATTTGCTATTGTATATTAGCCTCTTGAAGTCTCAATCATTTTATCTCACCTGTGCATCCAGGAACATCTCCCTCCTTTGGGTAATCAGAAGATTAGATTAATTATGCTAATCAGCTACTCCAGGCTGACACAATTAGACAGAACATGCAGTATCTCTGGAAATCTGTACAGGATCTTTCTTGCTTGATGACTTTAATTTCATGATCCAGTGCAATAATTATGGAAAAAGAGAGTGCCCTCCATTTGTGTTTCATCTCTACAGTTCCACATTTGAGGTAATTTTCATAAGAACTCCCCCCAGATTCTGAGTGCAGAAGCATCTTTCATCAGGCTGCCTTAGCATTTGCTGATCTGCAGGACTTTTTGTTTTCTCTTATCTCCCAACTTGGAAGATGCATTTATACACAGATACTGAACATTTAACCAAAGTACATTTCTGTTAGACTCAACACAGAAGGGTGCCAAGAAGCTCTCCTGCAGATCTGGCTATTGGAGTGATGGATCTGTGTGTGACAGTGTAGATAGAACTTGATAGAGCTTATAGAGGGAATTAAATCCTAACTTGCTGCACTATGAGAATGCAAAGAAATATTTCTGTGGCTGTTTTTAAACAGGTATATATATTTGTATTTAATGTAATGGTGTCTCTTAGCACCTTCAAAACAAAAAAGAAAAAAGATTTATCCATTTCATTTCACATTGGGTAAAGTTAAAAATCAGATTATGTAGCGTGGTTTACAAGTTAGGTTTGAAATGCCAGGATGAGCACACGTAGAGAGTGGCGTTGTTTTCATTCACATTGTAGAAAAAATATATAGAAAATTATTAAAGAGACAAGTTAATCCATCTATTGTTTAACATCACTGTGGTAAAGATTATAAAGATTTTATGTTAAACAGGAATAGAGGGCCAAGAAGTCTTGAAATGATATTAGCTTGGTTGAGTTAATGGAGTTGGCTGCTGACTTAAGTTGGTTTTCACCAGGACTTACAAAGTTTGTTGGCTGTCCAATTCTGTGGACTCACTAAAGTTGGGGTACCTGACTTAATTTTGGACTTTGATTTCCAAACTGGGATTTAGATGGATTTTAAGAAGTAGATCCATTACATTCTCTGGTTTCCAACTTTCCACTGAAGCACCAACCCCCTGCCAGATCTAGAAGCACAGACCTGTGAAGAAGAGTCAGACTCAGCTGTCCCTGCAGTTCAGTCATTTTCTGACAGCCTCAAGCTGCTCCCAATGTGTGCATTTATGGATCTGTGGTTATGAACTCTTCTTGTGTGCAGCTTTAGTCTCTGTTTCTAGAGACACCTTGGGAGCAGCTGCCCAAAATTTTGGTATGACATTGTCCAACTTGGAGATACCAGATTAATCCTCTATTTGAATTGAGCCACTACCTGTTTCTATATCTTTAAACTGAAAATGCCATTCCTAAACTGAATTACAAGGTTGCACAGAGAATTATTAGCACTCGTAATGTTCTCCAGCATGGCAGAATCCTGAACACAAATGCTATTCTGCTGCTGTGTGCTGAACAGTGGCTCTTCAAGAGACGTGACAAATACACACTCATCTTGATAGATTTTTGATGTTTTGAGTGAAAATATTACAAATTAGCTGAGCTGCATTGAATTGTTGAAGTGGATGTAATTTTTTTGTGAAGATAGATAACCAAGTAGCTATATCGCTTTCCTGTAGTGAGCGTTGCTTGTTATCCTACCCTGTGCCTGAAACAGTTTGGTTATCTGTTACCTGTATCTTTTCCCTATCCAGGCAACTGTATAGCTTCTTAATATTGGAATTGTGAAAGTAGAATTTCTGCTTCATTGTGTTTAAAAAAACAAAAAACAAAAAAACTCAGTGAATTTAGAATTATTTTATTCATTTTTAATAATGATTGTATTAAATGAGGATTTTTCTAATGTTGTTGTTAGTTTTAATAAGCAGAATTGTTTCCATAGGGATATAAATTACCATAGGAATATTATCTCTTTAATTATTAACATAATTAAGAATATTTTAATGTATTTTATTGATATAAATTAAAAACTTAAAATATCTAGAAGAAATAGTGTACCAAATATTATTTAACCAATCTTTTGATTATAAAGTAATTAGTAATGCCTGATATTAGATATTCTTCTGCAAAAATTATAATACTTTTCTGTCAAAATTTCTGTGCAGTCATATGAGAAACCATATTTTTAAGAAATTGTTCCTTTTATCGAGGAAACTTTGATAAGTGTAGTTCCAAGTTATGTTTTTCTCTTGACCATGAGTATAAGTACCATTGATACTAACACAAGCATTCTGTGTAGAAGATGTGCAGACCTGTGACATCTACATTATTAATAAGAAATCTAGAAGATTAGAATAAATCAGAAAAGAATCTTTTGCCAAGCATTTGAATGAGTGGAGCTAGTATATTATAGACATAAGAAGCTTAACTATTTCCAAGTTATTTCCAAGTGCCATGGGGAAGAAAGAAGAGTTTTGAGAAGTTTGAGGGAATATCATGACTAGAGGTGTTTGTGAAGAGATTTTGGTAAGTGTGAAGACAACTTAAGAGAAAACAAAAGACACTTATTTGGAAATTTGAAAATATAGTCAGTGAGATTTGGAGGTGAGCATCATGGCTGCTTGATCTGTCACTACAGAATGAAACTGATAAGAGGCTGTGAATGACCTTTAACAGTGCAGGAAATAAAAAAAGAAATCTAAAGGAAAGATGGAGAAAGAATGTTGTTTGTTTGTTAGTTTTCCTGCAGTCCGTCATTTTAGTTTCTTTTCTTACTGTTGTATTTATTACAGGTCAGCACTGAGGCTGCAGGTGCTTAGTCTCTCTTCTTTATTTTCTCTTTGATAGTATTTTGTTTTTTTCACTTTCTATCACTTGTCTTAAAAGCCATAGTTTCAGAAGAGGATAGTGACTTCTCTGAAAGCTATACATTTTAAGTTATGCCTTTCTTAGTCTGAGCTCATCCCTGTAAATAGTGCTCACATTTTTTCTGCCTGGGAAAATCACAATTTCCTCTGCAGACATAAAAATCTCTGCATTCACTTTTGGAGTGACTGATGATTACCTTGCTATCTAAACCTGTAAAAAAAGTCTAATTCAGAATTATTTTCTCCTCTAAGTTAATACCTCTGCATCCTCCAGTCTACTGAAAACATCAGTGGGACTACAGGAAACAGGTGAAACACAGAATCAGCAGGCTGTCCCAGGGTACTCAGCCTTGCTTTCTCTTCCACCAGTGTCTCTCTAGAGATATTCTGGCCTCATGAGGACCTGAGCCTTACGTGGCCCTGTATCATACTTTCAGCCTGCTGTGGTTTGGTCTGTAGTGAAGAAGAAGAAATCTGAACACTAAATCCTTTCTTCTATGACATTCTGCAGCCATTTGATGATAGTATCTGCCATCATCTTCTTTGTTAGGAAGCTCTGAAATTGATGTTCAACTTTTTGTATATTCACCTGTCATCTGTCTCCTTGTATCCGAAGGATGATAAAGGATTAGCTCACTTTTTTTTTTTTTTTTTTTTTCTCCCAGATTAGCTGAGGCAGATATGGGATTGCATTGTCAGACTAATCTTCCAAGAATACAGTTTTACTTGCTCCAACTAGAAATGCCATTCCTGAGCCATTATGGATCTTCTCGTCCTGGTACTGGTAAGTGACCTGTTTTTGCAGCAGTGATCTGAATGGCTATAAGCAGGCTAGAGAATGAGCTATTGCAATATTTGAGACATGAGATAATGAGATTCTTGACAAGAATCTGGCATGTGGATATTTAAAGTGATTAAAGTTTAATGTAGTGGTATTACGACTTGAAATAGGGAAAAGAGGTAGTAAGGAAAACCAATCAAATTTCTCTATATAGTGCCACTGATCTAGCTTTGAAATTCCTTAAAAGGATTACACTCTAGTTTAATTAAATCCTTTGCTCTCCCAACATTGCTTAACAATTTTTAGTATCTCTCTAGATTTCTAACATTACAGAGCAGAGTTATGAGTCAGATTACTTTGTGTGTTGAGTTTTAAACATGAGCCATGAATCCCTGAAATCCTTTGTTGTTTAAGCAGAATACATTTAACTCTCTCCATTTAGGGTTTAGTCATCCTTTTCATAAGTCTTTTGATGAATAAGGTCATTAAAATTAACACAATATTAAAATAGCTGGTCTCAGTAATTATAATGTTTAACCATGGTTTCTCCTGAGATTAAACTCTGTTCATTTTATCTTCCAATCCAAGAACTTTAACAAAGCTTATTTATAGCAGCCTGAAGACTTGTAGTTGGGTATAGCTTAAGGCTACCACAATATTCTTGTGTAAAACCTCTGTAAATGAGACATCAGTTACATCATATGTTTCTGTGGTAAATTTTAGTGTTCTCTTTTTCAGTCTTCATCTCACATTTAAATATGTTTCTTGGTTTTTTAGTAATCATTTAAAAAATATTTCAGTCCTTCCTAATGCTAATAGGTATTTTGTTTGATACTCTCATTAAGTTTTCCATTAACAAATTTTACCTGTCACATATTCCCACCTACCCATTAACTGAGTCACTGTATGTTGACATGTATTGTGTGATGGGTTTTATGTAAGAAGAACCAAAAGTTTTGTGCATAATAAAATAGGGATTGAGATTAAATTTGTGGGGAAAAAAAAAGTTTTCTCTAAAAACGTGTCACCAGGTTTCCACACTAGTTGAATGTGATGACGCCAACATGGTGTAACGAGACATCCATAGCTAAAACTTCATCCTCTTAACAGAACTGAATATGTTTAATTTTTTGTATATAAATTGACCTCTTTTGTAAGCTGTAGTTGTAAATATTTGCTGAACACTGACTGCAAGTAGTAGCTCTAGGGAAAAAGTATATGAACTGGCTGAAGATGGGAATTACTTAACTGTAGTTGAATTAAAGCCAGTAATTCACAAATCCCTTAAAGTCAGAGTTTCCGTCTTTCTGCAACTGAACACTAGCTAATTGGAAAGCACAGCAATGCAAAATGCTTGGCACAGCCTCTTGTGCACTTGCTTGTATCCATGTATATCGTTCATCGTCTGGATGAATAACAGGGTGAACTTAATGGAAAACACTTCTTTGCAAACCTGCATTAACCATTCCTATTCAATGAGTACCCTAAAAGTGTTTGGGTACCTTAGGTTTTCATAACACTTACAACACCGTAAGAATCCAAGTTTTAAGGACAAAAAAACCCAACACCTTACTTGGGAGATTTATTGAAAATGTTTTGTTTGAAATAATAAAAAATAAAATGGAAATCACACTGTTAACAACATGTTTACCATAACTGGCTTGAGGATAGTTAGCTGATCTTTATGATGGGTGCTCAGTTTTTTAACTTCTTCTGTAGTCACCTACCTTGAAGAATTTATAGGCGATTTTCACTGCTCCTATTATTGTAAGTGGTGGTTGGAGCCATTTAAAGGAGCTGATACTTGAAATCTGCCCTTTATTTAGCCTCAGATGATAAGTCTTGCCATTCCTTTTGGCTCCTGTTTACTTGTCCCTTATATTCTGAAACTAGGATATCACATAGTTCTGTGGAAAATCATAATCCCTTCCACTTGTCTTTATTATGCTTTATGATTAGAATTTCTGTTGAATGCCCTTGTTAGCATATTTCTGGCTCCAGGCTGTTTTTTCTTGTGACTGCTTTCTGAAGAAACTTTTATAAATCATATTGTAAGATCTCCTCAAAGTGCAGTTTCCTTATTGGATACATCACTGTTCTTTCTCTGTGAGCATCATAAAAAGATGAAACATTATACACAGAGACTGAAAATTGTGAGAAATGCCAAACTATTTTTATGTAAATCCTCCTGGAATCCCTTTGTGCTTCCTTTTAAAGTATTTTCTGGTGTAGAACAGGTCATCCCAATCTTCTTCATATTCTATTTATAAAGTATTTTTTGAAAAAAGGCTGAATCAATTTTTGGAGGAACCTTTTTGGAGTCTTTCTAACTTTCTGCTTTTTTTCTGTAATATCTTTTGTAAACCTTCTCTCAGTTGAGACTAGTAAACTCTTCTGGGCAGTGCAAACTGCAGCATGCTGTGAGCTAATTACCTTACATTAGCCATTTCAGAAATTACTGGCAGCTAATCTTCATAAAGCTAATCAGTCAGAAAAGAAGGCACCTAGCAAATAAATACCAGGCATCTTTATGCTTGAAACAATCAGAAATGACCCTAATCTGATTTAAAAAATTGGAGTGCTTACAAAAAGGGAACAGTGTGTGGCTGCCATCACTAATTCGATAAAGCTCTTGTGTTTTTTTAATTGACCCATCTTCTTGATGCACTTTGTTTTTTCCTTTCTGATCCCTCCAAGCTTGAATTTTCAAAAGCAATTATACATCTAAAAAGGTAATGTCAGCTTACCCCCTTCATCACTTAGTGCTAGCTTTTAAGTCTGCTGTTCCAAATACATTATAAATTTCAAAAAGTTAATTTAAATATTTGTCTTCTTTCATTTCACTCATGCTTGAGGTTTGGAGAGAGTGAGAATATTTTCTCTTTCATATAGGATCTCTCCTCCTCCCACTCCCTTAAAAATGTCCTGAATCTGCTATGCTGCTGGAGTGGTTTTAAAAATGATACCACTTCAAACAACACTTCCCTGGTTTTGCTGGATACGGCTTATGGCGCTTAAGAAAGTAAATATCCTGAATTCAAAATAACTCAGCACCTTTCTCCCTCATGGTACCTGGCCGTGTTAATTAACATCCTGCAGGACACAGCTGTGCATGTTGTTCAAAGGTCAATTCCACAGAAATAGGTGTGTGTTTAATACAGATTACCTAAATCCTGGTATTCAGCAGAATAGGCTAATACTGCCTTAAGAGATAAAACAGAAGTTAGCGTTCTGTCCTGTACAGGTGTGTCTACTGCATTTAGGTATAGAACAAGCTATGCAGTTTCCCTTACAACAATGGTCAATGTATTTTACAGCATGCTTTGAGATCTTAAATGGAAGAAAAGTGGTGGTTCCACAGCTGATTTCCAAATAGGAAGGTTGCTGGGGGTTCAAAGTGGCAAACTTTCAGCTGTAGGTGAAATGAATTATGTAGAAATTTATAAATGGTAGCTTCAGAAATCTGTGTCCCTTTTGGAGCCCTGAAAGCACCCTAAACCACTTGGCAGTTACGACAATTAAAAAGCAAGGAAAAAAAATGAAATATAGGTAAACAGTCTAAAGATATGAAACTTAAAAAAAAAAAAAAAAAAAAAAAAAGTAGATTTAGATTACATATTAGCAGGAAATTCTTTGCTACGAGGATGGTGAGGTACTGGACCAGGCAGCCCAGAGAAGCTGTGGATGCCCCATCCCTGGAGGTGTTCAGGGTCAAGCAGGATGGGGCTTTGGGCAGCCTGCTGTAGTGTGGGGTGTCCCTGCCCGTGGCAGGGGCGTTGGAATTGGATGCTCTTTAAAGGCCCCTTCCAATCCAAACTGTTCTTTGATTCTATGGTTACCAAATAATAATCAAACCAAGAAAAGTACATTCATATTTCAGAGAGAAATATTCCAGATATGAATAATGCGCAGTGACAAGATTGATGTAAGGTGTCAAATGATTGCTGGACTCCTAGCTTTCATTAAAGCAGTAGAATAAAAGAGCTTCCAGCTCATCTCCTTGATGGTACAAGAATGTCGCATGTAAAATGATCACTAACGAAGCTTTTCAGTGAAAGAGACTTGTGTATGCTAATTAGTTAGATTAATCATTTGTATGCTGGCATATTATAATAAGCAGTGCATATTAAAACTGGAAGAAATTTCTGTTGCCCATTTCATTTTATTTTATTTTTTGCTAGATGCTCTCATGATCTACTACATCTCTATCTTCCTGGGCAGCAAATGCCAGCGCATTAAAACTCTGGTTGTAGTCCAGCATGATAGCCTTGTGTTTGATGAATTAAACTTTCAAAATTCTGTGTTTTTTAGCAAATGATGTCTGTGACTTGATCTGCTGGGTGTTGGTCTTTGTGGTAGCTTGTTACATAAATTTAAGCACTGGGAGTTTTAAGGTATCTGGATTTAACAGTTATAATCTACTCTGTGGACAAAGGCCCCTTCCAAAGGCTGTCCCAGTTTCTGCTCTTACACAGCAAGTAAATGTATCCTGTTCTGAGAGCCCTGAACAAAATAGCCAGGAGTGAAAAGTGGAAAATATGTGAAACTGGAGGAATATGAAACAACACACTCTCTTCCAGCATGTATGCTATGAGTCTAAACACACATATTGTTGTGTCAAATTGAAACTTGTTCTTCCTGACAGTAACAGATTAAAGAAAATTAATGTCACTGTCTCCCAGATCCTTGCAACCGTCATTGCTTCCTTGGGATATAACTTCATGGGAGTGAATATAAAGATGGGATGAATTTTAGGAATAGCTTTTGAGCGCTGTAACACTGTAGCTGTAAAAGCTAGGAGGTTTTAGAGACAGTAATTAAATGTGATTAGCTGAACATGAACACAATTATCCAAATATCTGAAAATGTTAATGAAAATCTATTACAGTATTAAGTATTCCTCAAGAAAATCCACCATTATATCTCTAGTGATATCCTGAATTTTTATTTAGAATCTATATTTTACTTCTAAAGTTCTTGTGCAGATTTTGCAATCCAAAGTT